AGAGAGAGAGAGAGAGAGACAGAGACAGAGAGAGACAGAGAGAGAGAGACAGAGACAGAGAGAGACAGAGACAGAGAGAGACAGAGACAGAGAGAGAGACAGAGAGAGAGCAAACAAGGCAGTGCAGTAGGTCGTGGGCAGGTTGATACGACTGGTACGAAATGGCACGCACGGATGCGAACAGACGCACTGGTCGACAGGCACGCAGTGCGCATGTGCAGCGGCGCAACTCACTGCTGTTTCTTCTTTGCAGGGTCGATGACAATGTTGTCTGCCTTGGTGAGCGATCGTGCGAGAGGCGCGGGCTTCCCTGTCGCCGCCTGTGGTGCACCTGTTCCCAAGCACAAACATGACATGACAGCAAGGCCATGTGAGCTGGTGACGACGAGGACGGTGTGTTGGTGTTGGTAGTCGTGGCCCTGCGAGGTAAGCAAAACAAAGGGCGGATCTACGAACAGGAGCTGAAAAAATAAACAATAAAAAAATTAAAGGAAAAAAGGCACAAGCGTGCAACATAGACACACAGACACAGACACAGACACAGACAAACAAACAGACACACACACAGACACACACACACACACACACACACACACACACGCCATGTACGCTTTGAATGTGAAGACGCGTGGTAGTCCTGACCTTTGGATTTGTGTGCGTCCAAGACGGCTTGTGCACTCTTTGCAAAGGCGGCTGCGTGTTCGAGTAACGAGGAGCTGTTGGTGCATGTGAAGGGTTGGCAGCTCGTGAGATGAGCCGGTAGTTACAATCAATGGCATATGGCGACATTCAAGAGTGTGTGGCACGCAGCGGAGCAAGGCACGACGCAAGCAAGGGCCATGGGTTCATCCCAACCTGTCTTCCGCCTTTGAAGCTTTCGCCAGTGCATCTGGTGGTGTCGTGGAAGAAAGTAAAACAGTCGCGCGTGAGTGGAAGAACCGCAAGGCGGCAAGAGATTGCCAGGAAGAAAGGGGGTGGGGGGGCGTGCAGGAGAGGTCGGTTGAGGGAGGGACGAGAGTCACAGCCGCAACAGCAAGGGCTTGCGGTGAACAGCAAATTGTCGAGACATACACAAGGGAAGGAGAGCAAACTGGCAAATCGATGGCAGACGTAGACAGAGAGTCGCGTGCTCGTTGTAACGAACACACACACACACACACACACACACACACACACACACACACACACACACACACACACACGCACGCACACGCAAACCCCACCGCGGAGGAACAAGTGAAATGCGTACATGCAACTGAGATGACTTGGGCGCTGCGGTGTGCAAAGGCGTCTACAGCGGCGTCAACCTCGTCAAACGGCTTCTTGTCGCTCAGCTGTGCAGAAGAAGGATGTTGCGGGTGAGCAGGGTTGCCAGGGAATCGAGTGGAAAAGCATGCGAGCACATACCGGCAGGGCACGCAGGAAAGCGCGTGTCTAATTGCATCGGTTGGATGCAGCCACCAACGTACACTCACCGCTGCTGTGAACTCGTCAAACTTTGTCTTGACGGCACGCAGGAGATCCAGCAGCCAAGCGCTGATGGGGCGCGGTAGGCCTGTGGCGGCGACACAACGCAGTCAGCAGCATCAGAGAGGAAATGAGAAAGAGCGTGCGTGCGCATTTGCGCGTGGACTCGCACACGTTCAGTGAGCTGCTTGAAACGAAATCACGTTGGAATGGCTGCTGACCTTCGGCCGTTGATGCAATGGCTTGCTTGCCAAGTGTCACTGCACGCGCGACGCACGCCGTCCTCGTGGACTCGAGTGTCTCCTCCAATCTACACACACACACACACACACACACACACACACACACACACACACACACACACACACACAAATATA